ACATTTATATTACTTTATTTAATTTCAACTGTGATGAAGAGAATTTCATTTGCAGTAATTTTGCGCTTTTTGCCATAAATAGCACAAACAAAACAAGAGGCGAACAAAGTGAAAAAAACACCATGCAATGGCAAATACTGTGTATTTTGTAAACAAACAGAATAAATAAACACTGAGAAATACAGATAGAAAAAGATGAAGAATGAAAAACCTTTCCGACAAGCACAACACTTATACTCACACTCACACACACATATATTCAGCGTGTTTGGTATCAAAAACCTGAGCAATATAGTGTTGAATAGAGAAGAGACAAAATGTAATTCTGATTCGAGTGAAATGCAATGAAATGGTGGAAAATTTTCCGTTTGAAAAGGGAGAAAACAAACTTCATTTTATCGCATTTCATTCATGAAGAATTAGGTGAAAGATCCCCCTTGTAAATAGTCGAAAGAAAAATAATTGAAGACAAATTAAATCTACCTATTTTAAGAGATAAACTAAAGAGATAAAATGATGCAAATTAGCTACTGGCATCCGTATTTGTGAATGTATGAAATAGAGAAAAAAACGAAAAAAAAAACTTAAAAAAACAGATCCACTGGAATAACAAAGTGAGAAAATGAAAGAGATACATGCGTTCGCATTTGTTTACGAGAGAACAAAGGACAACTCAAAAACGTAGAATAGACCCCATTTAAAGCAGAAAATTCACTTACATATTAATGAAATAGATATGATAGCGTAAAAACAAAAGAAAGAAGAAAAAAAATAAGGAGACGACAAGTGGAAATAACGAAACATCATTCACTTATACAGATATATACAACAACTATAATACCATTTAAATTAATAATTATTAAAGTAAATTTAAGAGTATCGAAAATGTAAATTGCCTTAATATGTTCGTATAAAGACAACAACAAAAAAAATCAACAACAAATTAATATGAGATGAATAAATTTTAAGATTCAAAAAACACAAAGATTGTGTATGTCATTCCATTATTATTGATTATGTCTTATTCCTCTTAGCTTTCTTCCGCTTTTTGTTTGGAAACAATGCATAATTTATAAAATTAAAATGGAAAATATTCAAAGGACGTGGTACTCGGTGCTCTGTATTTTTGTCGACAACATTGTCTCAAAGAATTCCACTCGTTTCATGCACGTTGAGGGGAATTTTTTAAATAACGAAAAGTTGTTCTTGAACTCCAAAACGATTGTCTTCTATTATCCACTAAATGTCTTAGGGTAACATTGTTTGTTCAATGAGAACCAACAAATGGAAGTACACAGAGAGAAAGAGAAAGAATAGCTTTTTGAAATAGAGTCTACTGAATAGATTATGCCAACAAATTAAAAGTAAAAAAAATCCACGAGTAATTCCCTGTGTCAAAAAATCATTCTGACGACGTAGAAGTAATTGCTTTGAGTTCCCCTGATCAAAACCGCTTAAGCCCTACAAAATTTTCAACTTGTAATTTTTCTAAGGGATAGTCTAACAAACAGGTAAGTAAAAGCATTACAAATAGATGACATTAGCTGAAATGGAATGACATTTTGGTGATGATTCACTTACATCAACACAATGCACTGTGTACACACATCTACGATAGCATACACATCAATTACCATTCAAATGGAAAATGGTTCATCGAAAATGTGTTTGTATCAGCAGCAGTGACTATTGAAGTATCAACAGAAATACTAACATGTCCATTCAATTTATTTAATAATTTTCTGGCGAATGCCATAACCTTAAGATATTTTAACCCAAAGCTGTACAATTTCTTTTCATCATTTGTGTATGTCGAACATATTCAAGACATCAAAATGGCTGTCATTTCTTTTATCACAAAACTATCGAACCTTCATTTAAAGTCAATATATACCTTTATTTTGATTAAAAATTGGGTCAACAGTGTTCGAATAAAAGCCAGCATTCCACCTATAAAATGAATGGACGAGAGACAAAGAGAAAATAAGGGTCGTGTATCTTTGCATGTATGGGACGATATACGCGGCATAAATAACGTAACGATTTTATCTATCAAATTGCAGACGATACGTCACCGATACAATGCGAGGCGATGGCTTTTATACAATGATTTTATCATTACAATAGTTTTATACAGATATACATGATGAAAATCGGATCATATTTATTACCAAACATTTATAACGTCATCAAATGAAAATCCACTAGAAATCATATAACAACATACAATCAAACGAGACGCTCTATGAAAACGACATTGACAACAACGTGCACAAATGCTTACGATATGTGTATGATGAAAATTGGGTAGTGAATTGCATTCGCATTCCCAATTGTGGAGATATATAGTCAATAGCAAGAATGTTTATATTTGCTGATCTGATTGAAGATATTGTACACACATAAATGTATACACATGTGTGTATGTGTATCACGGTAAGGTTATTTTACGGGGTATCAAGGCTCAAGCATCCTGTTGATACGAATACAAATACGGAGGCAAGATTATATTATTATAACTTTATAGTGAAATATAGCCGGTAATTTAGTTGTCTCAGTGCTGAAATATTTATGACCTATACTAACATCCGAGACGACTGTGCAACGGGTACACACCGAATAGTTTTGCATTTTGAGCCCACAAAATGTACCAATATGGAGTTGATTATTATTTGTTAACTTCACGGTTGATCAAAATGCCGTTCACATTGTTAAATACAATTAAAGATTTGGCTGGCAATATGTATTCGGTTGAAGGACTTAGATGGCAGTGAGACAACATTCTTGGATCCATATCCAAATAAATGTTGTTACACACATACATGAACGGCATCTCAAATGTTTCTTATGCCACCATTATTTTTGGCTAATGTGCCAGTTTGCAAGACAACGACAACACCGATGACGCCATCAACAAAGCACATAACATGATTGACAAAATTATTGAATTATGCATTGAAGATTGTAGATTTGCATGTGTATCTGTTCGTTGGCATATCGCTTGACTGCTCAAAATATGTTTTGCGAATAACGATCGAGAAAGGAGAGAGAGATAGAGACCCGTTAAATTAATACGTGGCATGTTTTAAATGATTCAAGTGAAATTGCATTTCCATTTTCGTATCAAATAAATTTCGAGATTATTTCGATTGCAAATGATTGCTGTTATTATTGCAAATATTTTGAAATGTTTATTTTTGGCTCTTTGCTTTCTTAAACATCATGTTTTACAATTTGCCGGGGCAAAAGTTTCAACAAAAGGATCACAATACGGTACTGTATGCCATCATTAAATATTATTGGAATCGAGATAAAAGAGAAAATCGTCTATCGAAAAATATAATAATAGTTCCCAATCAGCAGCAGCAACAGCATTTTGTTCATTTCGTGTTATTCAATTCGAAAATGACAATGGTTGAAAATTGAACATTGAACTGCAGAAAAACGATTTACCAAGCAAAATCCACATTGCATATATGAAGCCACCACATTTAGACAAATATTCAGCAGTTAAATCGTACAACAGTTATATACAGTTTGTAAAATACGATGCAATAAATTGGGTTATTAAACCTTATCGATGCCAAGAATATTGAAAATGGTTTTGCATGCAAATGGGCAACATAGTATCAACGATGTCATAACACACGAATACAAGTGCACTAACCGTTTGGCCCCGCTGCCGCTCTCTTCCTCTTTCTCTCTCTCTGTGAGTGTGTGTCCTGCTATCTTGGCAGCTATTGTATATGTGTACTTAAAATAATTATTATTATCACTGCAAATATGTAAATAAGGCGTCGATGCAGCGAACATGAAAATGAATGCAATTCATGCTCAAATAAGTTGTAAACCAAATCGCATTCAGCACTCAAACCTCATACTCTCCTTAATATCTATTCACACAAACCTACATCTACCTTAGTTGCTCATATCACTCACTCCATTCGTAGCACCGTTCATAATAAACTAATCGCAGCCGTCTGTTTTCGGAATATTGAAAATGCTGTATCCTTTTCCAAAACCGACACACACCGATTCAGACGTATCCAAGTGGGCATTAACCGTTGCAACAAATTAAATTCTAAGTGAAAGATTAATGTCAGGTTTCAGAATATTTGATTAAGTCGCTTGATTTTGCATTCTTTTGCCGCTCACTTGAAAATATATGGGTTTTAATTTGTTTGGACACTCAACGCTCCTCGTAGTTTTCTCACTCTCCCTCTCTCTCTCTCTCTCTCTCTCTCTCTCTCTCTCTCTCTCTCTCTGTATCTCAGGATACGCATTCAGACGTTGTTACCATTTACATATTTCATATGCAAGCCCATACGATATACCAACTACTCAAAAGGTAGATTTCCACATATGGCCGCTACCTCTGGTGCCATGTGTGTACAAACACACACACAAATGGAATGGAATCAAATCGAAATAGCATAATATCTTGAAAGGAGCAGCTGAATTTATTAGAGCCAAACTGGCATAAGGCCATTTGATCGTATTCTTGCATGTAAATATGCCGCTCATTCGTGTATATAAATATATCCGGCTTCTGGCTTCTCAACTACTTAATGGTCTCACATTATCCCGGATACTCGCATTATACATACATCGTACGAATCATACATTCGTATTGTGTATATTGAGTTGTATACGAGAGAGCCAAGTGTATGGTGTGCTGTACATTTCTTCTCGCAGGTCTCATATCTCAATGTAGACACACACACATACACTTTTAAAAAATGATATTCAATTTGTGAAATAAATCACACAAGTGCTAGGCAAAATTTAAATAATAGACTCCTTCGGTTCTTGTTTGTAGTTTCGTTTAAGAAACTAACTCAACTGACTGTATCTTTCACTCTCCCCCTCTTCGGCCCATTCAACCTTCTCCAGTTAACATAATCAACGGAAAATGCTGAAAAATACAAACGGAAAACAGACAAACAAAACGACCAGAAATATGACAATGGAAAATTTGTAATTTATTATGACTACGGCTTTTTGAATAAGGTAATCTACAAATACACACTCAAACACACATACACATCCTTTTGTTCCTCTTCCTCTCGCTGCTTGCTCAAGTTCCATTCAATGCAGTGTTGCGTATTATGGCTACTATACAGGCAAGATTTCACAGTAACTGTGTGTGTATGTTAAAATACGATTTTATCTCTTGAATGGCTAGTACAAACTAGCACAAACTATGATGTGTGAATGTGACGTCTTAATTGAAATAACATTTCAAATGGAAATGAGCGGTAAAATTTACATAACTATAAATATACAATTTTTTCAATTTGAGAGACGTAACACACATTAAAAACAATCTCAAATACTATTACTAACTTCTGTATAAAAATAAATATTGATTTTCTAATGTAAAATGATAACACCTTTGGCAGGTTTATTGGCTATGCATTTTCGAACTTCTTTCAGGATTTCTTCAACTCGACGATCTAATGCCATGAAATTCGCTTCGGACAACACTGGCGCAACTGTTTGATAATGTAGGTTGATATCATTATTTAAAGCAAAAAAAATGCTACGAATATTACCTGGATCATTTTTTAGTGACTCACGTAAAGCAATTGATAACGTCTTTGAACCGTGATGAAAACTAAAGCGTAAGTGAACTATTTTGTAGTTAAATTCTTTTTGAGAAAGTCTTAAAGTAATAAATGAATCATACTTCAGTAGTTTTTTAAGTGTTGAGACTCGAATCACACAACATTGCGTAAGTGGTGCCAAAATGGAGAGATCGTCGTAGAATGGTTGACCAAATGATCTTCCATGATCATAATGCATATGAAAAGCTCTCGAGAATATTCTGCATGCAAAGATTTTTTTTTTTCAAAATTACAATCATTTTTTTACAATTTAATCACATTAACTGATGTATCTGACACGTATGTACGAAAAATGTATCTGACAAAAGCGAAAAACCACCCGCGGTGGGATTTTTTGTAAAGGTGTCAAACGGACAAGTTTTTTGTGTCCGTCCCACTTTCTTGAAAATTACCCTGGTTAACGGAATGCCGGTCCACCAAAATGTTAATTAAACACCCTTACTTTTTCGTCTCTTCATCTATTTCACAATGCTTTCTTCGATACCTCTGATTTCATGAGAATTGTTCAACTCACTTAAAAATTTGATAATTGTGTCGATCTCGGTTTCCAATCAAAAAATCCAAGATTGCGGTGTCAATGAAATCCAACAAGTGACGTCCCCTCTCCATGGGAAAATTCCCCTTGACTTCATCGCAGTAATTTGGATTCGTTTCCCATTCGGCTTTCTTGGTCATACTATAGCTGCGTTGATATGGATGAAAATAGGTCTTAAAATAAAAAAAAAGAAAAAAACTCCATTCAAAAGCTATTATAAATAAAATCGAATGTTAGCATACACGTCGATCTGTCACGTTGTCGTCTGGTAGATAAGCCATAAAAGAACCCTTGAATTGAAAATGTCATTCAAAATAAATACCGTTTAAATGTATTAATAAATCTCACTTCTAACTGATCACCGTCTCCGCAAACGGGAGTATCATAATCACAATACTGTTGACAATGACCGGTGAAGCAAATATTTTCGTCTGGTGGTGGTGATTTGAAAAAAGTTTGCTTCAATGAAGAACTGCCGATGTTCATTATTTCTGTAATCATGTTTATAGTTCTGCCGGTCGTTGGCAAGGCGCGACGAAACCCTAATAGTCTTTTAAATACACAATTGAATTTTCATATTACGAATTTATAACATCGATTTTCTCTTACCGATCAACATAAAAAGCGGCAATTTCACTATTGTGACGCTCATACTCGGAAAAATATATTTGATTTTGGGGATTTGGTACATTTATATCACATCTGTAGAGGTTTATATATTATAACTTTTTTTTCTCTTACAAAAAGAAAATCTCACTTACCGCTTTGGTTTAAAGAGAGCAGTCATTCCATTTCGATAATTAATAGTCAGTTTCAGTTGTGAGCCACCATCCTTTTCATCTAGATATCGAGTGAAAAGTTTAAAGCGAAATGAATACTCGCTGTCAAACTTTGAAACAACTCAATCGATTCTCGATACTTACCAACTTTTGCAATGGGTAAAGTCGCCATATCATTCAGTAGTTGTTCGACTACCGTTGAATTTTCTGGATACATTTCATGTGCGGTGATTTGCATGTGAAACAACTCCAAGCTGGTCGTTTCGTTACTGAAATGAAGAAAAAAAAACCGAAAGGGAAATAACAAGTACAAAATGAATAACAGTAATTGCCTTACGTGATTTTCATATGCAGTAATTCACCAAGTGTTGGATTTGGAGCCGGATTTATTTGAGTTGTTGATGTTATATCACCAAATTGTTCATCTTGCAATTTGTCAATGGCATCGTGTATGTCGGGAAATGTATCGGTTGTGTCAATGCATTCAGCATTCGATTCGATCAATCGATCACTGGTTATAATTTTAGACTGTTCATCATTCCTGGGAAAACAATGTAAAAGTAAAAAAACGGAAAAAGAAGAAAAAATGTGAACAAATAGAATTTTTCATACTTTTGGAAATCAGTTTTGAGTGGGTGACCCGGAATATAATTCGATTTTTCGACTGTCTTTCTTTTAGTCATTTGCATGCACACATTGATATAAAATGTTATCAATATTGTTATTAGAATGATGACAAATGCCAACGAAATGATCAACCGATCCGTTAATTTTCTACTTCTGATATGTTTCATCGGTTTTTTATTACGAACCATTGCAATGTAAAGCTTAGCGCAGCTCAAAATATACACTGAACATGGAATGACAACAAGACCACATTGCTGTCATTCTTTTCAAATTGATATTGAACTCGGTAAATCAGACAGAGACAACATTGCAAAATGGCATTCCTTTTGTAAATAAATCAAAATCCATGTCGAAATCTTCACAATTCTCTCGTATTTTCTCGATTTGTAATCAGCGACAGCCACGTTTTTTATGATTTATTCGACAGAAATTGTTGATATATGTTGAAAAGATCATTGACACAAATTACGAAAGACATATATAGAATAAGTGCACAACAATTCATATTTCATTTCGCAATGAAACCGATTGGCAAATCGTAAAACAAACAAAAAAAACGAGTAAACATATCCAGACACATATTGAATTTTTATTAAGCAATCATTGCTCATCATTTACATTCATCATTTTTTTTTTTTAAAGAAAAATATACGATTTAACGTATCGACAAAGATTTATAGGTTGATTTAATGAATTAAGAAAAGAGGTCATGCAAATCTGATGTTGTCTGTTGGTATGATTACTTTTTCTTGTGATGATTTGGAAAGACAACCACGAACAGCTTGCAATATAATCATTAATCGTCGATCCAAAGCCTCTAAATGTGGTTCCCATAGAATTGGCGACAATGGATCTTCTTCCATCGATTTTCTCATGCGTTCCGAAAGAGGCACGCTACTGTTGTGAATGCTGTATGAATGAACAAAATGAATAAAAAATATATATTTGCAAGACTCCTTGTTTTCATGATGAATTTACCTTAGAAGAGTTTCCAATGTTGTCGATTTTATCATGCAGCACTGCAACATGGGTGCAAGTATTTTGAACTCATCGTGGAATGCTTTCCCAAAAGCACGACCGTGATCATAGCGCAAGACAAAAGTATCTTCACCAAAAGCTCTATTCAAGAAAAAAAAAATGCAAACAAAAAGAAAATTCGATTTATTTTAAATAATTTTGACTGTATAAAGAGTTTTCGTTTAAGATACGCTTACTTGAATCTTTGGTAGTTGTGCCTGTCCATGTTTCCAATCAGAAAATCAAAAATTGACAGATCAATTAGTTCCAATAACAGACGGCCCTGTGAAAATAATTCCAACTCGGTGACCTAGTTCAAATGATATGTTTTGATTAAATTATTCAATTATCCAATCAAAACATTTTATATATAACCTTCTGGCAATATTTTGGATCGATTTCCCATGGTGCTTTGGCATCTTTCGAATATGACTGCGCCCATGGATGTGACCTTGTCTAAAAATGGTTTAAAAAAAAAAACATCGTAAATTTAAAAAAATGTCATATTTGAATATTAAAGTAATTTACCATACGATCAGTACCCGTCATATAAGGAAAATATGCCATGAACGAACCCTAATTTGTTAATAAGAAATTATGTTTTCATCTACTGAGGTCATGTGTGTATTGATGTAAAAACAAACCTCTAGATCTGTGCCATTTCCACAAATCGGATGGTATGTGTCACAAAATTGTTTGCAATTACCAGTAAAGCATATGTTTTCATCTGGTTTTGGCGATATAGCAAAAGTTCGCTGCAAATTTGGTTTGGCAAGTCGCAATACTTCAGTGATTAAATTGATTTTTCGACCAATAACAGGCATCGCACGCCTGAACCCCAATACTCTGATGTAAAAAAAAAACGAAAAAATATATTCAAATGTCTATTTCAAGTAAATTAAGAGAAGTAACAAACTTATCAAGATGATATGCAGCAATTTCACCTTTAAAAATAAAAATTAATTAAATAAAAAAAAATTATTTATTAATAATTTAAATAATTCAATTAACTTACTGGTGTGACGCTCGTATTCAGCAAAGTACATTTGATTTGGCAATGCCTCTTGTTCACGCGACACTCTCATTGGTTTGAATAAGGCCATAACGCCATTGTCAAATGTTACCGTTAATTTAAACTGTGTGCCTCCCTCCGTTTCATCTGATAATTTATTCAAATTGTATGACTTTCAATATATCTTTTTGCATAAACTTGTCTTTGTATTGAAAGGAGAGATACTCACCAACTCGTGAGATTCCTTGTGTTTTCATGTCGTAAAGTAAATCCTCGACTGCTTCTGATTTGTTTGAATACAATCGATACCGACTAATTTCGGAGTAGAACTTTCTTTGACTAGCGTCTTCGGATGAACTATATATCAGAAATAACACAATTAGTAAACTCCGGTTTGTCCAATAAAAAAGAAGTGAAGCAAAAATGAAATGTAAACAAAATTACGTTGCTTCAGTTAAATTGAAAAGATCGCCAAGAGTATCGCATTTTTCATCGTCTTGTGTTACCCGATTTTCCAAATTGTTAACCACATCTTGAAGATCATCAAATTCATCAAAGTTATTGAAATATGATTCATATTCCACATCGTCGCGGAGAAAACAATTTCCAGCCAGCGCTTCGAAAGTGCTAAAACAAAAAAACAATGAAAAATTGAGAAAGTAAGCTTCAGCAAGGAATGTTCAGCTTTACCCGAATGTAATTATTGTTTTTGGGACTGCAATGGAACTTATTCGGTTTGGTAATTGTGGACCTTCAACAATAACAGATTGTTTATGTTGCCCCCTTTCTAAACTGTCCAATGTGACTTCGATAGGCTTTTCAATAAGAACTGGCACTTGTAAATCAATTAATCTAAAATATGTCTTAAGGAGAATTATCAAAAAAACTATCGTAAGTGCGGCCGCAAATGCCACAGCAGGTCGATGAAATAACTTCCTCATTGTATTGTATTTATATTTTTTCAGAAGTAAGCAACAAAATAAAATGTGTTGCTCGACGCGGAATGAGCTAAAATGAATGAATCGCAGTAGACTTTTAAGTCTATAGCAACCATAGAATGAGTTGAAACAATATTTTTTTGCGCGGCGACGGCAAACTGTTCAAACAAAAATTTATTGTGTAATTTCAAGTATGAATCTTTTATTTACATTTCCAAAAAAAAATCGCAATAGTCCATGAGTAACAAACATGTTATTGTTTGCGGTTACTACCAATCCGAAACGTCCGAGGTGGTGGATTCTGATTTATATTCAAAATTATCACCGGAAAATATGACGTCATCAACAAGATTATTCTCAATGCACTCACGATATGTTCTCAAAATAATGTCGACACGCCTGTCCAATGCCTCTAAATGTGGTTCTATCAAAACTGGCGCATTTGCTGCAATTGGATCGGATGCCAATGACTCTCTCATCAATTGTGACAACGGCTTTGGTCCATTGTGAAACCTAACAATGCAAAGAACGCATATTTTAAAACAGAACATCACATTTCTGTAAATTTCTTATTATTGTTTGTATTTTTCCATCGTATTTTTGCGTTGTTTTATTCCAGAATATAATATTAAAGTGACTATTCAGCTCAGCTGATGCGAAATAATCAGCTATTTGAAACATTTCAATTTTGTGACAGTGCGAAAGATGTGGATTGCCACCTGTAGACGCCTCTATTTTGATCTTTTAGATGTTCAAATATGGGAATCCAAATTGTTTATCACACAAAATGATGTCACAAAATCGAAATGTAGCAAATTGCTTATTCAAAAAAGCGTCAAATAATACCTAAGAAGCGTTTTCAGGGTTGACGATCGTATGATACAGCATTGTGCCAATGGTATTAAATTTAATTCTTCGTCATAGTATGGGTGTCCAAAAGCTCTTCCTATAAAATAAAAAAAAGTTACAACACTTAATACTTGATTTTATGTGCCCTTTTTTACCATTGTCGAAATTAATAAGGAAGTTTGGATCATGGAACGGTCTAATTGGGAATAAAGGGAAAATTAAATATGTTAATTGAATGAACTCGATTAAATTTAACGAAGATGGTGTATACCCAAACATCTCATAACTGTGTCGATCTTTATTGCCCGTCAAAAAATCGAAAATTATCAAATCGATGAGATAAAGCAGTCGTGGCCCACTTTTGAATTCATTTCGCCTCTTAACCTATCATATAGCAGATGTGGTGATTTACACATTGAATAGCTTTGCAATAGTTTAGAATAGCAACAAAAATCTAGATGAAGAACTCTCTCTTTCTATCTATGCGTGTGTGTCAATGGAACATTGATTGGTGTTACCTTTTCACAATACTGGGGATCATGTTGCCAAATGGCCTTTCGTTTCCGATCATATGATTTCTTCCATGGGTTTTCGTATTCCTGATAAGAGTTTTTCCACACTGTCAATATTTCTATTATTCTTAATAAAATTATTGCATTACCTTTATTTTAACATCAAAATAAGTGGGTAGAAAGCCAATAAACGCCGCCTATCAAAGAAAATTAAAAATTGTCAATATATAAAATCATCAGAAAACGTAAAGCAAAATTGTTTACTTCAAGCAAATCCTTGTTTGCACAAAAGGCATGAAATTTGTCACAATATTGCGAGCAGGTACCATAAAAGCATTGATTCTTTTCTGGTCCGTCTGATTCGAAAAAGGTGTCCGATAAATTATTATGTGCTATTTCATATATTTCAGATGTCACATTAAGTATTCGACCAATAACCGGCATTGTTCGGCGAAATCCCAATAGTCTGTCATAGAAAATAGAAATTAATCACATCAAATTATGAAATATACATATATAATAACCAATTTCTGACACATAGTTATATTTTGCAAACCTGTCCAGATGATATGCAGCAATTTCTGCCGTATGTCGTTCAAATTCGGCATATTGCATTTGATTAGGAAGAGCGATTTCCATTTCCCGCGAGAATCTAACGAAAATCGACATTTATTGCCAATGAAACAAATGATTTAACCTTAATGTCATGTTAAATGACTTTAAATTACCTCATTGGTTTGGCTAGTGCATACATTCCGTTGTCATATATAATTTTGAATTTCAGCTGAGTTCCACCACTCTTTTCCTCTGCACATTTATATGTCATTTTTGAATTTATTATTAATAAATTTTACATCAATTGTATAAACTTACCGACTCTTATGATTTTTCGCGTCTTCATTTCGTGCAAAAGTTCGCCAACCAAACTTGAATTCTCCGCATACAGTTCGGTTTGTTTGATTTCCAGATTAAATTTATCCAATACAGTCAGATTTTCCCTGCAAATACACCATACATGTTTGTATAATAATATAAGTTTTTAAATCCACGGTCTGTGTGTACTTTACATTGGGCCGAAGTTGAAAAAATCTGCAAGCGTTTCAGTTTCTTTCAGTTTGGCATCCGTTTCAGTGTTATGCGATTCTTTTGATTCCATGTATTCAATGGCATCGTGTAAGTCAATATAGAAATCTTTTGCCGGGCAAATAACTTGTTGCAGAAAACTTTTGAAACTGAAAATAATTTGTTTACATTTCAGTTTGAAAATCAGTGTCACGTTAAAGTTAAAGTAAATATTGCAATATTACTTGATTCCAAATTGGTTTTTGCAGTTTGCATTGTTTGCGTTGTTGGCATTGAATTTGGTTGACAAGTCAAATTTTGGTGTCAGCAAATAATCGTCATCGAATCGGATCTTATGATGAAATTTTACAATCAAAATTGTTACGATTACAGCCACAAAAATACAAATGCCAATGATTATATTGCATCTTGTTCGTTTGAACATTTTGTTGTTGATTCGACGTCGCGCTCACTACTGTATGACTGTCGGATTTTATTTATTTTTTATTTTTTTGCTTGAACACAAAATCCAGACCGAATCAATGTTGAACGTCAAACAATTTTTCGTAATCTATATTTTCAGTCGCATTAATTTCAAAATGAGATTCATCTGATATATATCTATGGTTACGAAAGCTTTTCCCTTTTTTTTGTTTCACATTTGTTTATTCATTCATCGATTCTGCGTTGCACAGATACAGTACAGAGATCGTTATTTTTTTGCACAAGTGGTTCGATTTTGTCGCTTTAAAAAAATCAAAGTATGTCAAGTGTTGTTACCTAGGAATAGTCATGGAGTACTTCAATGAATCGCATTTATCAACTACTCCCATATGGGAGTTTGAGACTAATTGATTCAATTTTCAAACATGGTCTATGAGTAGTTTAATTTATAAGATGTAGTTCATGTGCAAGGCATCAAGATTGGTGAATTAAAAGGAACGATTGAAACTGAATTTCAAGGGAATTCAACTTAATATCGAACAGACTTTCATTTTTTGCTAAATATATTGCAATAAATATTTCTATAGAATAAAAATATTTGATAGCTTTGAATGTATGCGTGAGCCGAGATACTTGTGCTACACACTTCATTTCCCCTTCGGAACGCTGTGTGTCACATATCTCGTTTCGAAGGGGAAATGAAGTGTGTAGCACACGTATCTCGGCTCACGCATACATTCAAAGCTATCAAATATTTTTATTCTATAGAAATATTTATTGCAATATATTTAGTAAAAAATGAAAGTCTGATATCGAATGATAGCATTTCAATTTTCAGACACATTCATGGTTTCTGACCAGGGGTCCGAAGTGTTCCCTTCTCTTGAGAGTTGATTTGAGAATACCCGTTTACACATTGGCTCTTACATTTTTCGTAATTTTGAAAAGATTTTTGATGACCTTTCATAGTTTTTTAGAATTACATTTGAAAATACCGCCCCCTAGATTTCCAAATGCAGGAGAAAAAAATATATAAGTCTCCCTCCCTGCATCACTTCTCTCGGCTCACCACTGTTAATATCAGACGGTACTCATGTATGATAAAATCGATTTCAAAATATCAACGAAGTAGAGAGATTGAATTTAAATGTAAAAAAAATGATAAATTTCTCAATCAGCTTGCGCCAAATGAGCTTTTATTCTAGAATTCAATTCATGCACAATGTTTGCAATGTTTGGTTTCAATTTTGCAATCATCGTGAAATTTGGATGGTGCAATATCTCTTTCGGTGCTGTGGCCCTCGCATGCTGAAAATTAAAATTCATCACGTGGATAAACAACGTCATGTATGGAATGTGTTTCAATGCAGCCTCGCAGTGTGGTTAAAATAATACCAACACGACGGTCAAGTGCATCGAGATGAGGCTGCCATAATACCGGTGCATTTTTGCTTATCGGATCCGATGCCATTGACTCTTTCATTAATTGTGACAGTGGTTTTGGTCCATTTTGAAACCTACAATACCATGACAAAACATCTCAAATGTGGTTTCGAAAAGCCAAAAACCCCGAACCGGGGCCATTTCATTCGGAAAGAAATCCTACCTCAACAGTGTTTTCAATGTGGATGACCGAATCATGCAACATTGCACGAGCGGTGCTAAATTTGCAAGTTCATCATAGAATGGACGACCAAAACCCCTACCTAAAATGCGAACACATAGTATATGTGGTAAATTTCGTGTAAATTCCCAATATGCTGAAAATGAATCAACTAACTCGTACCATTATCGTAGTGTATTGTAAATGTATCCTCGCCAAATGTTCTAGATCGATGTGAGAAAAAAGGCACATTTCATAATAAATACTTTTTGTAGCGCTTGAAATGTACTTCATTGAAAGAAATATGAATACTTGATGATTTCGTAATGATGTCGATCCATGTTGCCGGATAAAAAATCAAATATAGCCAGATCAATTAAATCAAAGAGTCGCCGTCCTTTGTTGTACGGTGGTTGGGTTTTCACCTATTTTTTACTTGCACAATTAGTATGAATAATAAAAAAGTACACTTTTTCATCATTTTTTTATTTTACCTTGTCACAATACTTTGGATCTTTTTCCCAAATGGCTTGACGGTTTGGATTATATGATTTTCGCCACGGATGCGCTATGCGCTGTAGAGAATCGGTATGAAAAATTCATACGTTTGAAATTAAATTCAAAGCTTTTTTCCCCTGTCCACTTGCATACTTACATTGTTCTTTACGCCCAAATAAACCGGGAAATACGCTATAAACGATGTCTGAAGTGAGATAGAGAGAGAGGGAGAAAATCAATTAGAGTCCCATTTTAAGTGCAATAGTAATTTTGTACTCCAACCAGCCTCACCTCTAGCATTCCCTTTTCACTGCACACAGGATGGTATATATCACAATAGCGGTCACAAGTTCCGTAGAAACATTGGTTACTGTATGGTTGCAATGAGATAAAAAACGTGTTTCTTAATTTCGTGTCCGCCAAGTCATAAATTTCCGACGTAACATTCAAGCATCGGCCAGTGACAGGAAAAGCACGTCGAAAACCAAGTAATCTATATCAATTCAAAAATGAATAATAAGTTACAATACGGATATCAATCGAAAAGCATGTTACCTGTCCAAATGGAACGCGGCGATATCTAAATAAATTCAAAAATAAATACAAAGTTACAATACGGATAACAATTTAGTAGTTCATCATTCGAAAAGCATGTTACCGGCCGTATGTCGTTCATAGTCAGCATATAACATTACATTTTCAAGCGTTTGCTGCTCTCTCGGGAATCTATTTATTTGTGTTGGAATCGAAAGACAATGCAAATCATAAATATTTCAATGCGTGCACAATTCTTCAAGATTCACATGAATAATTGATTCAATTTGTGAACAGTGTACTGACCTCATAGGCTTCGACAAAGCCAACATCCCGTTATCAAATTGCATTGTCATCTTGATTTGAGTTCCACCCATTTTTTCTTCTACACGAAGATGGAGCGAGGGATGGACAGAAAGAAAAAGGAGAAAGAAGGAAAAGCAAGACGAAAATTTCAAATGTAAATGAGACAAAATGTCACAATTCCATATGAAGGTAAATTTTAGTGTCGTCCTTCAACTTACCAACTCTTGAAATTTTACGTGTTGCCATTTCATAAATTAGGGCATCAATTGTTTTCGAATCCTTCGAATACAATTCATTTTGTTTGATTTCGTAATTGAATTTGTCCAAAATGGTTGAATTTTCACTGGAAATCAAACACATTTCCATAAGTAAAACATGAATTTCAATTAGCAAAATAGATAACATACTTTACTTCAGCGGATATCAAATATCCTAAGGTTGGCAGTTCATTTTCCTCTTGTGTCGCAACCGAATTGGTGAATTCAATGTAGTTAATTGCATCTTGTAAATCGACAAAACGATCAGTTGGTGAATTTATGAAAATATTCCCGATATCATGTGATGACGACCTAGACCCTAAGAACTGTCTTACTTTGCCAATTTTGTCAAAGCTGAAATTGTTTCAAAAATATTGTTATTAAAATTCGAATTCGATATAATCTAATTAAACTCACTGAAAACCGATGTTTCGCTTTAAAGTGGCAAATGTGTCGATATCGTTAATTTGTTGGCTGTCATCCGGTTGATTGTTCATTTTCTCCACATTTTCCGAAGTTTGTTCGCTCTCTATTGTATTTTCCGGTGGTATCGGTAGGTATGTGCCACTTAAATTTAGGCCAGCTTGAATGTCTAATACTAAAAAAAATGTTAGGGCGACAAGTGAGGTGCCAAACACAATCGCAAAACGGTCTTTTGATTGGCGCATTATATTTTTGCGTTTTTTTTTGTCTTGGTTACGAGCGTCCTAACTTTTCACCGTTTAATATTGAATGAATTGTGTGCCGTTGGCTATAGACCGTCTTGTAAACAATCCTCGAGCGACTGGAGTCAATAAAAGATGACTTTGAAGGCATATTGCCGTAATCCGTGTAAACATTCATCGAACCGTCGTTTTTACGACATCCCCCACATACACATAGGTGCACAATGCACATAATATGTGCCACATACACACAGGTGCAAGTGAATTTACTCTCTGTTTAATTGTTCGGTATTTATTCAGATTGCGGATTAATTCGATAATTTAAGCACATGATTTATTGTTCAATTTTGCCAGAGACGTTGACTACAAGACAGATTTTCAAATGTTGAAATGTTTTCGTAAATTGTTTATGGTGTGAACGTGAATGTAATATAAAATGCAAAAGCCGAAAAACGCCTTAAATTACTCATACCAATTTTCCATATATTAATATTATTACTTGACGAGCTGTTACCGAAACCATCACCATATCAATGGCCACGCGAGCAACAGCGAAAAGTGGGTGAAAATGAGAGAGAAAGAACGGCAGAGAGAGAAATTGAATGAATGAAAACAAAAATTATAAATTCATAGAAAAGCCGATGTGCTAAATTGAATTTTATCAAGTGAAAATTTTGCGCCCCGGATAACATACAGCCAGATATAGATAAATGCCATGATACCTTATGTAAATGATGTGCGCACATACGTATGTGTGTACGTTTTATATTTTGTAGTCATCATGTGAACATTTGATTGCGTTGAAATAGCTGGAAATCAGTCAAAGGCTCATGCATATTTATTTGGTTTGACATTTTGTACGTGTTATACTTACACCGATTCGGAATTGTTCGCATGTTAAATATCACGGTATCGAGATATGACACATCCGCATTTTCCAAAAGGCACAGATCTATTTTGAAATGGAATTGAATACAATACAACTACGGCAATAAATATATACATTTTCTCAACCATTTAATGGTCATGCATTATCTCAGAAACGTGTACGGACGCCTACACACGCACATCTATGGTCTTGCTAGAAAAATGACATTCAATTTACAAATAAATCAAAACGTGTGTGTGTGTGTATCTCTGGATTTAAATATGCAAAACTTTTTCTCGGCTCTTTCTTCTCTCTCGAAACATCTATCCGTCCGAATATATTCGTACATTTGCAGAGTTTAGTTTTGATTTTGTCATCTCATTTTTGTGTGCATGTTGTAAATCTCTTGAAGCATGGACAAGATGTATGAGGTCGATCAAAATAAAGGTCACACTCGAAAATGACAACAAGCTGCCCATATTTAGGAAAAATACGCCAAAACGGCACTGTGACACACCGGCAACAAATTCATTCACATGCGTTCATTCCTTGTCTCTCTTTCCCTCTTCCTCTCCCTTTCTCTTTCTTTCTCGCTCTTCTTTTTCCTGTATTGTTCTTTCACTTTCTCTCGTATTGTTTTTATGTATATAGATATAAATATATAAATTCATGCCAGGAAAACAAATTATATTCTATGCTCCCGCCCGACAACGATGAATGATGATTTCATGAGCATTGAAAATGTTCCGAGGATTCGGAGCATTTTTTGTTGTTAAACTTTTTTTTTTGTTTTTTTTTCTGCTGTGATTACGACTCGCACTCACTTATTCACTTCACAAACAACAATCGAGCAACCGAAATAAAAGCAATCCAATAATATCAAAAATGAAAAAGCCGGCAAAATATTATCAACATTAAAAAGGTACGTGTGAATATGACGTCTTAATGGATATAAATGGAAATAAGAGGAGAAAAATCTATTGTACGGCTCATTTCACTTTGTCAACGCCACTCGCTTTTATACCTCTTTTAGCACACACACACACAATACACAATCACACTCAACAATACAAAAACTGCATACGAACAACGTGAACAATTGAAAATTGTTTGATGCAACACCGAATGCAAATAGGAAAAATGCATTCATAAATTGTGCAGACTGCAACATTGCACCCCCGTTACAGGAATCAAGTTGAAATGGTTGCGAAACATACGAATTTGTAATATAACAATGGAAATTAATGCATTAAATGCACACGAAATCACATAATTTCCACTTTGCATTGAATTTCAATTGGAGCATTTTGTGAGAATTTCCAACACCAACAAACAAACCGCATTTTCTTTTTGCCTTTATCTCATACACCCTTCTTTACTATATTTGCCACAGAAACGCTTTTTTTCTTTCATTTTTTTGTGATAAACAATAAACTAAGAGAGACAAAGACATGGAAGTTGGAGAGATAGAGAGAAAAGGGAGCTTGACTCTCACTTAACTCTATTATTTACGCATATAATGGTTTGCCCATTTTTTACATGCATAAATATTTCTCAAAATATTCAACAGCAATTTAAATAATTTAGTCCTGCCAGCCTACAATCTACATAGATACTCAGCACCAACAACAGCATCAGTAGTAGTAGTGACGGCAATAGCATCAGTGCCAGCAACAAAGAATGAACAACAAGACAAAAAATGAACCAAAAGGAGCAATACAACTCCACTATACTCGTATTGCTCACAGGACGTTCGACTAATTTATATATTATCCATATCAGGGTGCGGTACGAACATATGTAATGTTTTTGTGCGAATGTTTGTCTGTGAAAAACGAATTTTGTGGCGCTTACACACAAACACTCTCATTCATTCAAGTGAGCATAGCGTTGGTTTTCTCACCGCAACATTCTACCTCCGACATGGTCAAATGATACAGTTTTACCGCTCTCTCTCCCCAATGTAATATACATGAACAACGGCAGCAATTCATTCAAAATATCCGGCCAACATCAAAATTCTGGGCGAACCAAAAGCGACACATGACTAAAACCTTAGACCTTTTGTTTAACATTTTCGATATTTCTCAAGCTTCTAGAGTCGAGTCGAAAATAATACAGCACCGTGCACAGAAAATCTATTGTCTTACGCATCCAAACAAAACGACTCATAAATAAAAAAAAGAAACGAGAAAAGGAGCACGAAAAAAAAATTGCCAACACAAAACAATTGAACAATTGTAGGAATTTTTCCGTTTTCCACTCGTTGTATTACTCCATTTCGCTCTCCTGAAAAAAATAGACAAAACGTGTGTTGCTCGAGCATTTTTTGCACTTTTTTTGTCGGAAATACCGTCGAAAAATGAATGTGATATGCTTTCTTGGAACAAGCACTGCACCGTTTTTTCTTTTTCAGCCGCATCACATACGGCAGTCATGTCGATTACGTGTTACGAGCTTTTTTTCACTTTTCTTTTGTTATTTTTATTCGTATCTGGTTATTTCGATTTCCTTTTCGCTCTCGTCGTGTGCCGTGCCTGTACGACTTTTTTTTCGGCATGTGGTTGAGAGTTGCTCGAGTAATTCGTGATATTTCCTACGAGAAATAATGCTAAATCGACTTAAGAGATTCAAAGTATGTCTTAAATGTTACTCTACAAGAGAAATGCTATCACAACCACAATAACAACAACAAAAATCCTGAACTAAATAAATAAGTGCTTACAGTAAATAAAACATTACGTAAAAATTGTCGGGCAATACGGCCGACGACGATGGAGATGAGGATGAAAAGAACGACAAGGGTGGCAGCAGCGACGATGGCACAAAGATTGATAAAAGAATGCAGAGAGAGAGAGAGAGAGAGAGAGAGAGAGAGAGAGAGAGAGAGAGAG